AACTGCGTGACAGTGGCTGATGCGAACTGACGTGGTGCGTTTACGACACACTCCCTCTCCAACATGATATGCGATTAAAACGTGCCGCGCACGAATCATCGTGACGGACGTTTCTGTTGCGAAAAGAATTCGCGGGGCGGACGCGGCGATAAGATAATAGCGCGATTTAGAGCGGCCTGATGAATTTAGCATTAATCTGTTTCAGGTCGATTGGGGGACACTCGGTTGGATATCAATTAAAATTCACAGCATTGGATTCACGGCATTAGATTCACTGGCGTAATGGCATTTGCGAGTGGCCGTAAATTAATTATTCGCATAAATAAGCGAAATTGATCGTTATGATCGCGAGGATCTCGCATCACAACGCGCGCTGCATTATTGTTTAGCGAGCTTGTTTGTTCACTTATTAATTAGCATTGTTTTCGCGTTGTTAATACAGACTGTCGGTCGATCAATAAACTTACACTGCAAAAATAATTCCGAATTTCCTCCCGAAATTAATGAGATCGTTTATTATTCGAAACTTGAACAATACTAGCAGTTGTACTTTTTAATTAATTTTATCGTGTAATCGTATGTGTTCAATTAATTATACTTTTCATATATACGGTGTATCGAACCAATCGTACCGCCCTATTCATTCATGAACGCGACGTCACACGACGATGAGACAAAAAGTTTTATTACCAAAACGCACCCGTAGAATCGATTGGTATCACTGTGATTTTCCAGAATAAACCGGAAGTAATCGAAACCGAAGGTAACTTTACAATTTCAAATGGAATGTTATGATGCATCGAGTGTATCATAATAAACATCTTTGTTAGAACTTTTTTAAATTATTTCAATTATATTAATAAAGAAAAACTATACATATATACAGGGTGTTACGTAACATCCTCCTCACCTCTGATTTACGGATAGAGCGGACTAAACTGAGTCGAAAAGTCCTATACCATTTTGCAATTTTTGCAATAGTTAACGAGCTATTAATTATTAAAAATCGCTGTCTTAGCCCCAGCCTACCGCCTGATTCAAACGCGCGGCGAGATGCGGCCGTCTCGCGATCGGCGTTGCTAGACGCACGCAGTCAAAGGAATAAGAGGGAGAAATTTTGCTTGCAATCTTTGGTTGGAGTGTGCAAAGTCAGTTGAAGTTGCATTGTTAACTGTTAAAACACAAGTAAAAATGTCCCGAGATGTTTGTTGGACGAGGTAATTGAACTGGCGGGTGACAAATAAAGTTGTCAAAAGATATGTGTTGGACGAAAGGTCCTATTGAACAGTCAGGTAAACAATAAATTTTGACTAGTGAGAAAAATAATAAGTGTGGTATAAACCTAGTGTAATCAATAAGTGCAAATTCACATGTGTTCTAGCACTTTATCGTATACAGGATTTAGATTTTCGGTGTCCTTTTTTAAGTTAATGGCGTTCTTTTGATTTTTTATGAAAAACATCTCGGCGATTTCACGTTTCCGCGTGTGCTTTTCATTGTGTAAAATTTCGGGTTCCGTCCATTTAAAGTCATGATCACAATCTAAACGGTGTTTGCTTACTACCGATAAATTACTCTCATGCTTTTTTATGTCATTGCAGTGTTTTTTTACTCGTGTTTCAAGGTGGCGTTCGGTTTGTCCTACACAGGACGCGTCACAAATTGTTACAATTAATCCTATATACAACTTCAGTTCTCTTGCTTGTACTCAGACTGTCTTTACCTTTCTTTATAATTCGGTTGAGTTTGTTGGGTATGGTATGTAGGATCTTGAGACCACATTTGTCGAGATTGCGTAAAATACCACGGCTGATGTTTTTAATGTATGGGAGTGGTATACAATTGCGTGCATTGAATTTCGGTTTGGAAGGCTTGTCATCCATATTTGTCAGAAAGTTGTGTTGTTTTAACTCCTTATAGCGTTTTCTAATGTGTCTGTCAATGACCTCCTTCGGGAAGCAATTGTTCTTGAGAATCTCTTTTACAATTTCGATGTTGGATTTATGAAATTGGGTGTACATTTTTCCAAATACTTCATTAGCTATCAGAAGAATATCGATATGATAGATTTTAAAACTTAAAGTAAGAATAAATAGATGAAGCAACGACTTGTCAATAATGTAAAAGTATTATATAATTATTAGTATTATATAAAGTATTATAAATAATTTTCTTACCCAATCATGTAATGTCAGATCAACACTTTAAAGTTTCAATCTTCCTACACACAAACACCACCTATATCATACGTATCATTACATTATACACTATTGTACACAACCGTTCGACCCGTGGCTTGACACTGACATACTTCTATCGTTTCTCTTCCATTTGTAAGTGTTTAATACAATTTTAATTTTACTTTGCTAACAATCTTTTTTACATAACTGTTTTATTCCTATTTCATCACCTATCTATTACTTTTACATTATTGACAAGTCGTTGCGTCATCTATTTATTCTTACTTTAAGTTTTAAAATCTATCATATTCTTCTGATACCTAATGAAGTATTTGGAAAAATGTACACCCAACAACTGGAAGACACGATGAATTCTGACCATGTCACTGACCAGCCTACATGCGTACCTTTGAATACACCGACACGATAGGTTTTATTTTATCTTTTATCAATTTCACTTGTAATGACATCGCATAATTACTCTTTACCTTGTTTTAAACGTCGTCGATAGCTAACATGTTTCGCTTATTTATTATTATTGCTGATGAGAGTCACATGCGATGACCGAAACGTACCGTGCGTCATATTATTAGTTTTCAAAATGTTATTCTTTATAATATACTTATCTACAAAGATTGACGTAGACTATTGATTTAACATCGCTGATCAGGTGACGACTCACATTGCCTTTAATTTTACCTTTAATTTGTTTTTAATTGGAGCCTATTATTTGTATCTATTATTTATCTATATTTTATGATTACAGATTACTTGAAAAGGGTCCAAATCCAGGACCGAAACGGCGTTTTTATATTAAATAAAGGCACTGGCCAGTGTAGGTCGTTTTTGAAAAATACTCAGCATTGTTTTGAATTGCTGGCGATATCATATCTACCCCAGAGTTAAATCTGTTAAGTTTCTTTAGATATTTTGGAGGGACCTAACTTGTCTAAATATTAAATGTAATTAAAGCAATATAATATCATAAAGAATGATGAAGAATATTTTACTTGTACATTAAAAACTCATTTTAATTTATAACTGATAAATTAATTATCATGGAATATTTTAAGAACTTCCTCTTTTAGAAGCGTAAACAGGTTTGCAAGAGAGAACATATACCGTCTGAATCATTCCACATCCGACAAAATTTATGAGAAGATAGAACGGATCGAGATGAACGGAAAAGTTCTGTACCATTTTGTAATTTTCGTAATAGTTAACGAGTAATTAATTATTAAAAATTGTTTTTAAACCAATTCGAGCGCGTGGTGAGATGTGACCGCCCGGCTATCGATATTGCTGTGCGCACGGAAAGTTGTTTATCGCATTCGGCAATGGCTAGAGACCCTGTAATCAGAGACTGGCCATAAAAGAGTTTATCAAATTCCTGCGAGTGAGAGAGAAACATAGGCTATCTCATTCTTCTATGATTCTACGATTGTAGAATAAATCAAAATGAATTTAAAATAATAATGAATAGGTCAAAGATTAAACACTGATTTTTCCATATTATATAAAATTATTTTAAATATACATTATAAGCCTTCAATTCACGCGAATATGTACATATATATACATACTATTCACGGTTTTTTAAATTTGTTTTCCGGTTTCTTCTGACTCATACTTTTTTTGCGATTGCATGACATTAAATAACACAAGTAATGCTCTGTGAAGTAGTGGAACATACAATAAAGTGCTTATCATGGAGTCGTAAAATGTAAGAATATTTCGAAGAAAATATTCAATTTAATTAATTTTGATTAGGCTTCTAATCGACCATAACTGGCAATGTGTTTTCAACACAGAAAATATTACCTCAGCCAGGGTTTGAACCAATTCGACCACCGAGGCATATGATAATATTTGTCGCAATAACAGTATAGATGTTGTCTACGTGTATGTTTTCGACTCTTGTAAACTGGCTAGGATAATATTTTTCGCAATAAATTTTCTGTGTTGAAAAACACGTTGCCAGTTATGGTCGATTAGAAGCTTAATCATTGTTAGTCATTTACTGGCGTCAAATAATTCTTGATGTTAATTAATTTTTGTCATTGCGCTGATGATAGCTCGAACCTGGGCTGTAATGTACGTATTTTACTATTTTTCAGGATTCATTTTTAACATTTTATTATGATAAAAAATAAATATATTGATATATAACGATATACCTCTGAGAGTGCATCGCACTACGCGTCCACCTTAATTTCGAACCAGTACTTCACGAAGCTCGCAGGCACCGCAAGTACTCGGCAGTATTAACCGGCTCTGAAGATAGCCGAAAACAGTCGAGTCGCGCAGGCAAGCGATATTAGGAAAGCACATAATGATATCGTTAACGTCATTTAATTAATATGGATAAAGACGCATACGATTTTAAATTGTTGAAATAACGATAAATGTAAAGGTCAATGCAACACATTATTGCGGCGCTGACATTATTTACATCAGGAAAAGACTTCGAGTTCATCCATAAGGAAGCTAAAACTGAACGTTTTGCCCACTAAGTTCCTTTCATGAGCAACTGGGTTTTCCGATTTTGACTTTTTCATAAAGAAAAGCTCTCTTTTGTGAATTGTATATTTTGATTATTTAACTCACAAAGATTTCTTTATGAGGAATCCAGAACCGAAAACCTCATTTACTCGTAGAAGAAGCTTAGTGGGCGGAAATTTCTTATAAAACCCACCTACTCATGGAAGAAACAGTGAGCAAAATAAAATTATGAGGAAGCAACGTTTGGCAATTTCTATTATTTGCTTTTACTTTATTTTATTTTATGATTAATATTTAGCAAATTTTTTCAATTTGTGAATATGCTTATTATTTAGTGTATACATATAACACACACACACACACAAACTTTATTTTTAATTGTTTATTCTATAAAAGTTCTAAACTATCCTAAAGTTTTTCGAAGATAAAAACCATGTTTTCACCCCCCCCTTGCATCGCCCTTATTGTATAACACAAGCAGGGATTGCAAATCGACGACGGACGTATGCCAAACTCCGTGTGGTACCACCCCATGTACATGTACCGGCATAAATGCTGTCCCTATCCTTGTGAGGTGCACGCACACAACTACAGGGACTCTAGTTGTGTGCGTGCACCTCACAAGGATAGGGACAGCATTTATGCCGGTGCGTGTACATATCTGATGATAGTTAAAATTGAAAATTTGTGGAGACGCCATCGGGTGACAGAGTGGCGTACAACAAAATTTTGCAAAGAAGATGACGACGACGACGACGATTTCTTGATAATGTCGATTATTTCGAAGATAACAAACCATTTAAGAGCATAATTTCAGAAAATACAAACTATAAAAAACATATTATTCTATACGTCGTGTCATTATAAAAAAACAGTTGATTTTCAATATCCGTAATTTGGAAAAAAATAGTATCCTTATCAAATCGAAGACCGTTATTTTTAATGGCAAAAAATACACCGTAATAAAAATCTAACTCAAAATGTTCCCGTTATTCTCTCAATTTAATTTTATTTAAAAAATAATAAATCAAAGCATCATATTTTTTAATTAATTAATAGATTATCGGAGGAAATAAATATGTCGCGTAAAGGCAAAAATCTTACAAGTTTTCTAGAATTTTCTTCCCAATAAGACTCTTTCGAGCGCTAGCAGAGAACGTTTTGTTTACCTACAGATAAAATTCCAACAGGCGAACGTGGCCAAAGGACACATAGCTCCGGGCCCAGATATCACAAACTTGTAGTTAACCTTCTGCCTTCTACTAACAGAAGTCCTAAATAATGGGAGACTCCAGCAGGAGAGGTTCTCGTCATTTCGGGGTATAAAGAGGAGTGCTAAACGTCATAGGGCCACAGAGAGAGTATATTCCAAACGCAGTTAATATTTGGTATCCGACACTCGGTTCTTTTCTTTCGCTTTGACAATCGGTTAACATTCGCCTGTTCAAACGACAGTATTTTCGGGTTAAACACTTAGAAATTTCAAGTTCCAACATCGGACTTCTCACAATTATAAAATTCTTGTTCTGTCCAGACTTAGAAATTGACGACCATTTTGTATCTTAAAAGACATGAATAAAAGGTAAACATTGTAAATACGACTCCTTTCGTAATCCTTCTCTGGTCGCTGCTGAAGAGCGAACGGAATCTCTATCTCGCTCTCTCTAAAAGAATAACCACCACAAGTCCTCTCCTAACCAATTTATAAGAACATTCCGAAGATAGATCCTCCCTGCGAAGTTTACAAAATACGCTATCTGCCCGGCCAAGAATAAAATCTATTATCTTCACTATTTTTGTCATTATTAATTTTCATGCAATCGAGTCCGATCCCCGGTAAAACACTTAAATGTGTTGACCGAAAAACGGACGTAACAAATGCTCTTGTCAAATCGTGACAAATAGAAAAAAGCATATAAAGTTTGCTGTAAAAATTATAATTTACGTTATTTGTAATAAAATAAGTTCGAACATAAGTAATAGTAAATACATATCGTTATACATATCCTAAAAATAAATTTGACGGAATAAAGGACTAAGAGCCGTGACAAGGTGTCTAAATATTTTATATTTTAAATTTATTGTAGAAAATATTACCTCAGCCAAGGTTTGAACCTGGATCTCCCTCTCACTAGTCGGGCGACTCAATCAATTCAACCACCGAGGCATATGGAAATATTCATCCCAATAAATTTAAAATATGAAATATTTACACACTAATACCCTGTCACGGCTCTTAGTCCTTTCCTTCGAATTCATGTTTATCACATTTGAGCCATAAGAATTTTCATTAATTTGTTAATATACTAAATATACTTTAGAATTGAGTCGAGTTTTTCACTTTAAGCTAATTCAAAGTCAGAATCCTTTAAAGTTTAAACACAATATCGTTAAATAAGTGAAATGATACTTCACAAACATTAGATGCTAAGCTATTGCAGATGGTACACAAAGTGTACAGGGTCATGTACATACATACATATAATTTGCACATAAAAGTGAAGTAGTGCGCAATTTATGAAGCGTGACGTAATTACGAACCAGAAGCATGAGAATAGGTTTATTTTATACAATAGCAATGATAGATTTCGAGTGAGCAAATCGCATAAATATGTATTTTGGCAACGTGTTACTTTTCAAGGCAAAGACACGATAAGAGGGGAGTTTCGTCGATGGCCGTGGGGGCGATGCAAAGCTCATAAGTATAATAGAACTAGCATCTTAGTCTTTCGTAGTAAACTTACCACCAGGTCGGACTTCTTTTTTCCTGTTAAACTTACTTCGCCCACTTATATTTGTCATTCAAATTGTAAGTCACCGATTCGTCTTGTACCTAACTACCATTAAAATTTAAAAAGGGATATCAGCAGATAAGTTAATGTACAATTATTGGCAAATTAATTGCAACCGACAACATTTTTATATTAAAACCCTTTTCTTTTAATTCTGTGCAAAGCGAAATATTAATCCTTTACCGAGGTGTCATAAAGAGTCTAGGAATTTTGATCCGCGATTGGCGACCTTACGTACACAAGTCTTCGAAAATTTACATTTACTATTACTTTGATTAAAAAATTTATTTAAATTTTTAAGAATTGTAGTCAATTCTTGGACAATATATATACATATATCTCTCATTAATATTACTTTTGCTGAATTTATACTTGTGCCACCGAAGAAATTCAAATTAGTTACAGCAGTCTTATAGTTTTTTTCTCTCATTTCTCTCTCGCTGCTCCTTTCCTTTTTCTCTCACTTTCAATATATGTTGTAAATATTAAAAAATACTATGAAATATAATCATAGCTATCTTTAATTTGAGAATTGTAATTGCTTATTATTGATATTCCAGCATTATGACGCTAAATTTGTCCGGTAGTTCTACAACGTTATTTCATGAAGCTTCTCAGCAGAATGTGTCGCAAACGAAATTGGTGGAAAAAGAGACCATGACGCAAAAACTGTTAACACAAAAGGCACAAAACTCGCAGACTAACAATAAGTACGAATGGAAGATCGTCTGGAAAAACGTGATATCTATTGCCTACCTTCATATTGGAGCATTGTATGGAGTGTATCTTTTATTCACGGTTGCCAAATTATACACGTTTCTTTGGAGTACGTTACATTTATCTTTATTTTACAATTTAAAACTTAAAATTCGATTGTTGTTTTTACTAATTGCAACCATTAATTTGCTAGAAGAAATAACATAAAAAGTAGATATCAATAGCGTCAACTAATAGATATTTATAAAATAATAATAATTGCAAGTGTCCCAGTTACTAAAGATTTCATGATGTTATGTTGATACATTTTATTTCTTTTTTCAGGTGTAGCATGGAGTATCATTTCGGTTTTGGGTGTTACAGGAGGTGCCCATAGATTGTGGGCTCATCGAACTTATAAGGCAAAAGTGCCGTTGAGAGTTATTCTTATGATTTTACAGACCGCTGCTTTCCAAGTAAGTTAGTCGGTAATGCTATTATATAAACTTATTTATGTGTATTAAAAAAAGTAACGATTATTATCAATACATTGTAGTTTTTATCTCACAGTTATATTTAAAGTAATATATCGTAGAAGTATTTAAAAAGTAGAAGTATATTACCTTAAAATGGAAAAGGAGATTCATTGTTAATAACAAAATATAATCTTGCCAAAAATTTCTCGGAGAAAGTGTAAATATAATTACATAGGCCGATAAAAAAGTTGTTTTATACTCAAAGATCAGACTGGGTTACCTCGAAGGTTTTTCGTGTGCTGAATACAAATCCGTTGTCCGCTTTTCCTTAGTACGTCAGGATTCTGAGATATTTTAACTTAAATATGCACAAGAGGCAACATTGAGACATATTTGAGTTTATGTTACACATAGACAAAATGTTTTTGCTTGTTACGGTATCTGCTTGTTGTGGTACCTTATAGTACAAATTTGCCCCTTCAATTTCCGTTTCTGCATGTCCCAAAACGATGTTCCCTGTCCGAGTTATTGCACATCGGAGTTGATATAATTTTAATGCTAATAAAAGCAGTACTACAAATGTAGGATATACATATAATATAGGAATACAATAAATAGAAGGTGACGAGTGTGGCGCGGAGAAACGTGCGCCGCTTAATAAACAAATGGACTAGAAGATCCGAGTTTAATTACACGGACACTACTGGTCTTTTTGGAATCTCTCGAAGGAAAGTGGCGACCACCGAGAATTATCCTGCCACAGATACCTCTTTAGGGATATAGGCCTCCAGATTGGAGGCTCCTTTCGGTTAAGGTTACCAACCTACCGAAGATGAAGTAAAACCAAATGCTCAAAATACCAGAACGAAATGGATAAAACATGCTTTAAGCCTAATATATGAGGAAGAAGAAGCATAAAGAGAAAACTTGCAGTAACTTTGGTGACTAGAGGCTCTGAAACTACAGAGTTCAAGTATCAAAACCTACAAAATCAAAATACACTATCCAGAAGCTTTAGTTTCAGAGCCCCCAGTCATCGAGATACCGCAAATTTTTTTTTTCTTGTACACCTATATTGGTATGCTACATTTGGCAATATCTCGGCCAGGGAAAATCGTTTTAGAACAGGCACGAACGGAAATTGAAAAGAAAAACTTGAACTATGAAGCACCATAAACGGTAATTAACAAAAAAGTTGCCTCGACATGTGACATACAGGTTCAGATATGTCGCAAAGTGGCCTTTTCTGCACATTTTCGTTAGGATATCTCAGAATCCTGAAGAGTTAGAGAAGAACGCACAACGTAATCATGCCTAGCACACCGAATACCTTCGGAGTCACATATTCTGATCTTTGGGTACACATTTGTCGGCTGGTGTTATCATTCAATGTATGCATCGCAGAATCACATTTACGAATGGGTAAGAGATCACAGAGTGCACCATAAATTTATGGACACGGATGCGGATCCGCATAATTCGAAGAGAGGCTTCTTCTTCTCGCACGTAGGCTGGCTGTTGATCCGCAAGCATCCGGACGTTATTAGTAAGGGAGCCACGGTCGATTTAAGTGATCTCGAAAAGGATCCTGTCGTCGTCTGGCAACGCAAGTACGATAATTTGTCATTGACCAAGACATTATTTTCGGAGATGGATTAGTGACGTCTCACATGTAACATCGCGTGTTCTTCCTTATAGAAAGATTATTATCCGGTTTCAACAAAATAGATTGCTACGTTTATGTTACAGGTATTACGCTATCATAATGCCTCTTTTCTGCTTCGTGATGCCCATGTGCATACCAGTCTACTTTTGGAACGAGAAACCTGTGTACGCGTGGTACGTTGCCCTTTTGTCATACATAATACAGGTGAACGGAACTTGGTGCGTAAATTCCGCGGCCCATCTTTGGGGTATGAAACCGTACGAAAAGTAAGTATCATCGGAGATCCGTCTATGTCGTTTATCCTGTTATTCCTATTTGGAATCGTAATTCTGCGGAAACAGACGTTGATAAAAAAAAAATGGATTCGTATTTTTTGTCATAGGACCATTAGCGCCACCGACAGTTCTCACGGAGGTTTTGTCGGTGAGTTCTGGCACAATTACCATCACGTGTTCCCGTGGGATTATAAGGCCGCCGAATTAGGTCGCTATCGCGTAAACTTCACCTGCGCTGTTATCGACTTTTTCGCCTGGCTCGGCTGGGCGTACGATCTGAAGACCGTGAGACATGACTTAATAAAGAAACGTGCAGCCCGAACAGGTGACAATTCGATATATGAGCTACAGAGTGATCTTAATGATGAGTGTCATCATACGCAAGAGAAAATAGTATGGGGATGGGATGACGCCGATATGTCATTGGAGGATAAGCAGGGAGCGGAGATTCTCAATGAGGAATCCCGAGATTAAATTCCTAAAAATTTTGTACGTAGCATTACAGAATTACGTAGAAAGTATCGTCCGACATACGTTTGGGTGTACAAAAGTAATGCGCGGTATATTCATAATCATATCGGTGATTGATGGTAAAAGGTTAATACATATCGTTATACATGTGAGGTATCGTAATCATTTGTTATAGAGATTTTGTATTTATGATTATGGCGATCGTGTACCTGCATGTCTCTGGTAAGGAACAGCTCGGCCATGACACTAGCCGCCCGTATTGGAGACGGCCATTTTGTGAAAAATAAATGGAGAAAATGTCACCATGGATATTTCACGGAAATTAATAACAGGTATAATATCCGTCTTAATAATTTCTAATTTTTCACAAGACGCTCGTCTTTAATGAGTGCGGCTAATGTCGTAGTCAGACTTACTTATCAGAAACGTTGATGTTACGGACGTGTTCCCATGCCCTCTCAGTACCATTGACAGTACTTCCAATATTCTCGAGCATTTAGTATGAAAGAAAAGGTGTGAATAGTTGCATCTAGAAAAGCATAACTGCGATGTTATTACGAAGGATACTGAGGTTTCATTTGGGAATAAATTTCTCAGAAGCTGAATACAATAATAGCGTCCACTACTGCATGGCAGTAGTACTGAGAGAAAGTGGGAACACACCCTACATTTATTGGATGTTATCTATGTTACAAAGTCTTGTTGTATATCATTGGGTAGGAATGAAGGTATTGTTACGCTTAGTATATTCGGTCAGACTTGAAGACGGAGCTGTTTCCTTGGCAATAGTTGTTATTAAGACAACCGTTCGTTGATTTGGTGCTCAGCTTACGTTTACGAGCCGCTGTAATATTTCTCTGTGAAATAAACAGGTTTACTGTAAAACATTGTCACTCTTCATTTTCCCGCGAAGCGCGAGTGCTGCGAGTGCGGGCGAATCTGAGCGGAGGCGTAACAGTGTCAATCTTGTATCAAGAGATTCAAGAGAATGTAGTCGCGTGGTCTTTCGCCGCACTAGTGAAGCTTGCGAGTGCTACGGTACGTCGGAAAGGCGAAATGGACATTTTCTTAATCCTCACAAACCCGCTAGCTCGTTCCCGACCTCCCGGTCTCGAACCAACAGCGAATGCTACCGAACTCTGGAAAAGCCGACGAGACGAGGAGGTAGAGAGTACTCTGTCTCCACCGAAAGATCTCGTGTCAGCCCATTCTATGTGTCAATGGTTTTAATTGGCATTTTGCCTTACGAATTTCCAAATGCATCAACATTTACCGCCTTGTAAATATTCCGCGACCAGTGCAAGTCATTTTCGCGGCTGTTTCGTTGTAAATAATTTCCGTTCCAATGTAAATAATTTCTGTTCCGATGTAAACAATTTCCATACGCGTTAGGATCCGTCTGATTATAAATTGTTCCGTAATACTGAAATTGCTTTGCATAAATTCATTTGTTATTCGTACAAACATTGCCTGTAAATATTATTGATTAAATATCCATGTTAAACTAACAATAAGTTAAGCTCTTGCTTAATGTCTCTTGGCCTTGTATTTAATCCCTGATCGCCGACGAGTGTATCCGTATTCAGGTCCCAAAATACAGATTGTTTTAGATGCACTTAAGCTTTACAAACGAACTGATCGACTGTTCATTTTTATAATAAGCTACTTCTATTTTTGCATATTTTAAATGTATCGTTACACTACGTTACACTACAAATAAATTCTAGTTAAAAAGTATTATGCAATAAAAATGTTTATAAACAGTTACTATGTATACATTTAATAATATCCTTTTGTGTCATGTAATTTCGAATGAATTCACACTACTATATAACTTCTATTTAATTAAATATTTAATTTAATAAAAATATTTAATTTAAGTTATAAAAATTAAAATATTTAATTTAATTAAAAAATCTTTAATTTAATTCAATTTAAATAATACAGGATTAATTAAATGGTAGGATAAAAGTGTGTCTAAACAAATAAAGTAAAATCAGGACCTTTTATGATATAAATCAAATGGAAATTAGAACGCCGAATTATTACTTAGGTCTGAGCAAGACAAAGGTGGCCGAAAAAACGGAATGATTCACATCCGTTCTGCGTGGTATCAGGTTAATTAGAGTCCGAAATACTCAGAGAAGCGTAATCCTTACCCCTTCATGATTCTCGTGGTTGCCACGTTGGGCCCGTAGCTGAAATAGTACAGCTAGTTTAACATAGTACAGCTGAAATAGTACCGGTTAGGGTACAATATAACTGTGCACCACGCAATATGTATACTTAAGACGTATAAAAAATGTCTCAGGGATATCTAAAATGTATTCTTTGAAAAAATACTATTACAAATATACCTAAATAATATTTCACAAACGTTAGATGCCACGCTATTGCATAGGGTACACAGGGTCATGCACGGACAATTTGCACATAAAAGTGAAGTAAGCGAGCAATTGTTAAGGCGCGATGTAATTACGAAACGGGGGCATGAGAATAGGTGCATAATATACAATAACAATGAGAGATATTGAGTAAGCAAATCCCATAAGTATCGATTTGTGCAACATGCCGCTTCTGTTAGCTGATGCAATAAAGTAAACCATTCTTTCCCAGACACAACAAGTGGGGAGGGTTTCGTTGACGGTCGCGGGGCGGTGCAAAGCTGATAAGTAGAACATAGCACCTTAGTATTTCGTAGTACACTTTCCACCAGGTCGGACTATTCGTCGAGAAGAGTTACCGTTACGTACCTTCTTCTTTCTTGTTAAACTTACTTCGGGAAGATATACCCACGATACCATCCACTTATACTTCTCGCTCAAATCGTAAGTAACCGATCGGTCTTGTATCGAACTACCATTGAAATTAAAAAAGAGATATCAGTACATCCGTACATTGCACTGGACTGAACAATGAGGTTTCACACTACGACGTGGAATTCTATGTACTAAAATCATTTCACCTACACATGGGCGTATCCAGAGGGGGCAGGGGGGAGGCAGCTGCCCCCCCCCCCCCTAGACTCAATGGGATCCTCATTGAGATTACGAATAATATAATTAATAGATTTGCCGAGGACTCCAGAAAATTAATTTTTATATAAATAAAAATTTTTTTATAAGGTAGTTTAATTTATGCTGCATAATTCACCTACGAGTGAATCCTGTTCTGCCCCCCCCCCTAGACAAAAGTCTGGATACGCCAATGCACCCACACATTTTAGAAATTAAAGCTAAGCGATATCGACTTAAAATATCAGACAGACAGATTCATGCAGCTCCAAACTTCTCAACTTGTATTAATTGCGTACAAGAAATTATTTTAAAATAGCAAACACTAAAGCGCTCTTTCATCTGTAATTTCTTTTCTCTTATGAAACATATGTCGATATCATAAAAGGGAAGAGAGATTTTAATTTTAATCATGAGGAAGACCGTGTTTATTACAGTTTAACATAGATAACATTTCAGCATAAAAATTAATATTAAATTATAAATATATGTAGTTAGATTGACAAAATTAATTACTTTTATTTCGTGTACAAACTACATACAATACAAATTTGATCGATTTAACTCTTATATTTTTGATATTTGTAAAATAAGCTGCGGACTAATCATTATTACACCATAAAAAGTTTATTTGATAACTGAAGGGACCATTCTATCAACGTTAACGACATCATTACGTGTTTTGCGCAGTTACAATACATTACAGAAAAGCAGTGTACAGTAGGGTGGAGCGATTTTGTGTAGAGAAAAGAAAAATTTTTAATTTTACAATGCCCGTAGGTGGAAGCGATGCGAATTTGTTTAAAAATAAAAATTTGAAAAGTTTTGACTCGATCGGAGCTCATCTTCTGCCTCCAACTTCAGTTTGAAAATTTGATTATAGGAGTAAAATTATAAAAATTAAAAAAGACGCAATTAAAAATTTCAAGAAATTTTTAATTCTATTTTCATCAACAGTTTAAAGTGTTATATTCTAGTATATTAAAAAATTAAACCAATTGAAATACAGGGTGTACCGCAACTCGTGACCGAAATTTTAATAGCGTATTTCTGAGCAAAAAGTAAGACGAAAATCCTAATACGAAAATGTCGAGGCTATAATACTTGTCAAATGGGAAGCATTTATAATAGACAAATCAGGTAGTCTAAAGTTCGCGCGTTCAGGGACGGTACATTGCACAGTGATAAAGGTACTCTTGCATCTTTG